AGTAGGGATCTACGCTAATACAACGGTGCATAGTTTCTTGTTAATAATATCATTGAGTTATTTTACATATTACGGTAAGCGTCGCGTGACGTAATTTTTTTTTCTGAAACTAGACTGCTAGTCACGTTACTAGCTTTTCTGTATATGCTATAAGGAAAAACATGTTCAAACATATATTAATAATAGATTAAACATTTTCAAAAAAGTAGTATTAAGCAAATTGTAAGTGAAAAAAAAAAAAATCTTATCTTAAGTTCCTTTTTTTTCCTTCTCATTTCTGTAATTTAACCCGTTATAGCGATGTAAGCAATCTGTAAGGCCTAGCCTCGTTTATTCTTTAAGTTTTATTGTTAATTAAGCGCTATGTAAGGCCGTTTGATTGTAAGTTTAAATAAAAATAAAAAAAATATATATATATTTTAGAATCTAAGTAGTCTACATAGTAGTTCGTCATCGAGCTTAAACAAAAGCGCGCCACTAAGTGTAGCGCAGATTACGATCGCCGTCAATTTTGTAATCGAACCGGCCGTCACGTAACGTCCAAATATATCAATCAGCAAAAATGCAATGTGGCACGTATATTCATTTAAAATTGACGTTTCGGTCAATATCGTTAATGCGAATGCGCGTAGGGGGGAAGCACGGCGGTATCGCGCTTTCAGATCTATTTGACGGGCTGCGCTATCGGCGCGGCCGCGGTGGCCGGCTAGGTGTGTGCCGGCTCTAATCGCACTCGCATCTAATACTCGCTAATGTAAATACCGAAAGCGTCGGTAAATAGAGCTTTTTATCGACGGCTCCTATCGCGACTGTGAATAGGAGGTAACTAAACAAGCGACAATTGCATACGATTTTTAATAAAAGCATCGTGATTACTAAACTTTTTAATAACTATTACTGAGACCGAAGCAATGGATTTTCTGCCTATTTGTGCCTTATGTTTATATTCTGAAACTTAATTCTTTAACTTAATATAGACAGTATTTAACTTAATTAAGCTTAAACTTAATAAACGAGGCAAAATCTAAATGATACGTTACAATAACAGATGTTGTTCTAACACAATAAGGAAAATATACATCTGTTTTTCTACATATTATATCAATAATAAAAACTTAAGCTATCGTTTACTGGCGCATATATAGTTTGTGATTACCGTAGTAGCAATTTGAATTGCAAAGCGGTCGTTAGGGGCGGACGGGTTGAGTGCGCGGGCGCAAGCGGCGCGGCGCCCGCGGCCGCGACGTGACGCTCCAGTTGCGCGCGACAGACGGTACAGCTTTATTTGTTTCGACTTTATAAGTGGTTCATAACCGTTTCTTCATCTTTTTGAATACTAATAATAATAACGAAATGTTTTTTAAAAGACAATGTCAAATGACTAACAATCCAGCTAAAAAGCGTTTGACAATTGTTAATTGTACCGGATTCGCCTCTAAACAAACCGGAGCTATGTTAATGGCACCCGAAAATAATACGGCGACACGTCACCTTTTCCTTGGCAATATTTTCGGTCGCTGCCCGCGTTTTCAATGGGCGGGTGCTGGCTAATTTTAAACTGGACAAAAAATGAATTGGGCTAAAAGCGTTCTGGCGCCAATAAATATAGCGGACGCTTGGGAATTCCTTTGGTTTAACGCACTTTTACATATAAAGTCGGCTATAACATTTATTTATCTACTTCTCTATAATTATACTAACTTACTATATAATATTCTCTAGCGGATTTGCTGTTCGACGGGTACGTAACCCACACAATTTTTATGAAAAAATAAAACGCTTTTTTCCTTCGTTTAATCTTTTGTTTCGATATACTTATCACTATTATTTAATATTAATAAAATTGCAAAGAAATAACACTTGATACAGTCGTCTTCAACAAACCCGACTTTGTTTTACATATATAGATTTATAATTAACAATTTTATTATAATAAATATATTAAATTTATTTCTATAATTATTTTAAATTAATTATAGAAATAAATTATTGTGCATGTTTTCCCCCACTATGTATGTGACTATATCTCCTAGAAAGAGAGTCAGTGCCCCATTCCGATAATGTTTTTTGTTCATAGACTACGAAAATTATTATAAAGGAAGTAGGAATCATTTATGTACGCATAGAACTAACCCCTATTGATCTCATATTCGAAACAGCCGAAGCCTCCCGGCGCGGGAGGGGACGCTGCTGCAAGAAAGTTTCGCGAATGCACTCGAGATCCGGCTCGGCTCACAATCGTTAGTGTAGCTCAGTACGCTAACAGCGTACGGGCTGCAAACTTCCATAGCCCTTTGCACTTTTTCGGTCTTCAATACCACCAATGGAAACTTGGAGAATGTTTTCAAATCCCAACAATGTTGCGCCCGGAGCGTTGAAGCGATAGTTCCGTTTTACTTCGCATTAGGATATTTGTATCGCATTGTATGGAAATGGGGTTCGTCGCTCGATCAATGATAAAAGTAATGTTTCGACGTGAACGATTTTAATGCTTTCGCCGCGGTGTAATTTGTCTGTTGCCGCCATCGATCTAGCAGAACGTGAAACTATCCGCTGCTTATTTATACTTACGCGCTCCTTGTATTTCGTAGACAGGTGTTAACATAACAAGAAGCTACTTGCAAAATATATTAAAACCATAGATGATTCGTTAGGTCATCATATGTGATGTTATATATAATCTCTATTCCGCGCGCAATTACAGCGATTTCTATTTCTACTCCTTGACATCGATCTGCGAGGAATTAGAGCAACCCTTTTGGCACCTGCGTTGCACTATTGCGAGACCTAGGATTGCGTGTCACTCACAGCCTTGACTGGCTTCTAACGCGAGATGAGAGACGCGCAACGTGGTTACCATGGCGACGCGTATACCCTCATCTGAAATGTCTAGTTCTCCCCAATACTGATTCACCATGTCATCAATCACACTGTTTCTTGCGGCATTCGCAAGTTCTATTTCACCGGCAGTTCAAATAATTGGTTTAAGGGCTTAAGACGTCTTACAAGATTAACCTTGGCAACAATGTATTGTTACTTCACGTCGTCTAAGTACACATGCGTGTCTAAAAGGTGATCAAGATTATTATATCTGGAAAATAATTTTCTGCCTTACAAAGTGGTCGACAATTTACGCCCAGATCAATTAATTCTCCTACTTTTAACGTCTAGTTGATTCGTTGCTTCAATTACGAATTGTATCGAACTGTTGTTGTTGTCGAGTTTTCTAAATTTCGTCGATCGCTTTCCGCCGGAGCCACTCAAGGTGACCGTCCGGTGCGTTGACATTCAGACGCCTTTATCAGATCAAGCGATGTGGTTTCGCGACGCTACTATTATTGGCCCTGTCGTCGACTGCGTTACGTTACAACACACGAGCAGTCTAATGCTTTAATTACCGTCTGACATCACGAGATTAAATATCGATCGTACGATCTCGAGACGAAATGACACTAATCGTGTTAGGCGCATTACTATAATTAATTTTTTAGATTCAATTCCTTGTATGTATTCGATTCAATCGTATTGGACGTGCGTAACTGAGCACGTTAAGGGATTAACACATTTCCAACTACGTATGGAAGGACGATAGCTCGCGGGTTCGGATTCCGTTTGCATTATAATAATGTGTTTTATTAAATAATAAATAAGTTGGACACCTCCGTCAAATATTAACATGGCTGATCTTAGATTCGAATCCTGAGGAAAGATATTAGTTTCAGATATTAACAGGAATGTGAGTCATAAAAAATTGGTTTCATATAATATACTATGTAAATAACTACTTTTCTTTCTGAAAAGACTTCAAACTACTTCTGATTTCAATCAAAGTTAATTTCTACCGCTGCTTCTAATTCAATTGTATTTAATCGTATGCCGTTAACGATTTTAGTTAGGTAACCGCGTCTAGTAGTTCTCAGAAGTGGCATTACACGTTCGTTTTCCTCGAACTCACGGTGGCGTTAGTGTCATATGTGGATGTGCCGTAGTTTTACATAATTCTTTTATTATGTGCAATCGGCACGTGTAAGATGATAGCATTACATAGTTGCGTTATTATTCATTGTATGATAATTTCCATGTTGCACCTAAATGAGGGAATCATCATTTGTAATCGGATATTCTTGCGTTGTTATTGTTATTTTGTACTATGGGAAAATCCGTGTGCATTATTGACAGGGTCAGGTCATTAGTTTGATTGTGGATGTTATTATGGAAAGCCACGGTGGTCTAACACCTTATCTACCATGTTTCTATCTAGATTTAACTTATACTTTTGCATGCATCTTTTGTTTTTCATCTCATGAATATTTCACGGAAACTGTTTTATAACAAATCTCTATTTTAGACGCCGTCGATATCCAGCCGCACTCACTCGTGCGACCGCTCTCACAAACAAAAATACATGATGCATAATTATCTTACTTTGGAAGTAGCGATCCTCACAAACGAACAATTTCCGCTCACTTCCGAATTCAGCTCGCGACTTCTATTCAGCTGGCTACATTGTTTACAATTAAAACATTTCCGTCCATAGCGAGAAGGGCCCTTTACATTTGTTCTCCTCTGATGGGTATGACGCTGGAATCCACCGGGCCAATTCACTCGCTAATAGTTGGTTTAAATCGTACGTTTTGATAGATTTATTGAGTGCCACCGTCGGCGCACCGGCCCGCTTCTGCGAATGGATCGGCTCGCTTCTAAGATTTGCCCATTGTTTTAACGCACAATGACTAACGAGACTGGCCGACTTTTTGTCAGCGGCTTAAGTATCGCGATCCATATTTTGTCTTGATTAATATTGTTGATTCGAGGCCCATCATTTTATGGCGAAAATATTATCTCAGTTTCAATATTATCTCCTCATTTACTTATACTTGTAAACTTTCAAGTAACATTTATACTATTGTAAAAGAAAAGAGCAGAGCCTTCTTCACCAGTTACCGAAAGGCAGAATAAACTGTCTTGTCATAACTGGTCATCTCTAATAGGCTACCCCGCTATCCATAGCTCGGGATCTGTTTACCGTACAAATGTATGCGGTCGGTTCCGTCACCGGGCGCGTCGCGGGCCAAGGAAATAATGGGAATTATTCGTCGCGTCGGAACCGCGTGCGGGTATCGATGGAGGCAATTTGCCGAATAAATGGCCTGGTAATGATTGCTCGCTCGGTTTAGGCGCGCCGCGCTCGCATTCGTAACGTGCCCCTGACAGCTCTCTCCGCGTTCGCCTTGTTTTCGATGCATTTCTTTCTCCCGCGGTTGCATGTCGTTTTCTTCGCCGTCTTTCCTGAATGGGTGTTTTGTTTTATTCCCCTGTCGTGATCTGTACCTGCAGTGATATTGTTAGCCCTGCGTCAAGGCAAACGTGTACTGACTACGATGCGCGACGAAGATGCGTTCTGTACCGATTCTAGATATTACAGCTCTTGCATTGAATATCAATGGGAAATTGAACAAAATAGCCGGCGAACGCTTCACAATAAATTATCGTCGTATTGTCTGGAGAAGGTGAGCACAAATGACACCTAATCGGGGTGGTCGCAATGAAAATTGAATTCCATTTAATCTGAACCGTTTGAAATGAAATTCTCTTTAAATGCGTGCTCTATCTGCGGATCGCCGGGATGCTTCCGGCGAGAGACGCGCCCCCCAGACTCGGGGACAATGGGGAAACTACGCACTAACTATTCGCTTGTAAAAAACTTTTTCTATAGGCCTCTCGGACTTGCATTCTTCCTCCGTCTCTCAATACGTACTTGTAAATAATTGCATTTCTTGGATTCGTGAATACATTATGACCCCCGAGTCCGACGAGATAGAAGTAGCCGCGACCTACGCGGACTCTATGGTGCTGTCATTTTGAAAGCGTGTTTTTCGTACATAATGTAATTTCGGGTGGCAACTGCGGGGATCGATACTTGGAACTAAATTCTCGCCAAAGATTCCGAGGCCCCGAATTCCCGGAATCGCTCGCTAGTCGCTTCAGACGTTTGTTGCTGTCGACATAGCGGGACGCGTTTGTGTTTCGGCTTTGATATTCGCCTAACTTTAATTTAATACTAAGATTAATATCTTTCGCCATTGTACATGCAATGTCAAATAGTTCGCCCGCCCGCCCGAGGCGACTGGGAACTTCATACGAATTGTTGGGCGGAGTATTATTACGAGGATATGAGTTTCGAGAAAATTACTATTCTGGTAAATTGGTCTACTAACCAATTAATTATTCGACCATTAAAAACAACATTTAACTTTCAGTGCCTTAGTACTCGAATTTAAAAGTACCTTATTTAGGTTTCACTTAGAAGTTTTTCTTTCAAGCCTGCCGATAACAAGTTGGTTTGCGTTCGTACTAATTATATTTAATTGCATTTTCTTATTACAACCGCTTCAGTCATCCAAGAAACAAGCCGAACCCGCTCAAGTTGAAAATGACACCGTTTAGTAGGCGTCACCATTGCGAGTTGTGTATATTATTATGTATAGAGATAATAAGCGCCGTCTGTTTGCTGAATGTCGGTTCAATGTTACAAAGGCCAATGCGTGCTCGGAGTAATTGATTTGTCGGTGCTCTAACAATATTAAACTCTAATATCGATATTAGAATTAATACTCGCCTACAGCCGCTCGTCCACGTGGAGTTGGTTCATATTCGTGTTTGCACTATTCCTCGATTTGTATTAGATTTGATACCAACGTATCTTACTCCGGAATAACACAGGGAATATGCGTCGTAGGCTGCTCTCAATTGCCTAAATGAAACAAACACGACGTCGGAAAGAATTCCTGTCAATGACCGAACCTGATATAGTGCGGAGTCCGTTAGTCGAGTGATCGACCTGGACTCCTGCCACCGTCTAATTATAAACTGCATAGCACAACAAAGCGAATGCTAATCGCAATACGGGACACAATCGAGTGCAGCGAGCGATAAAAATCTGAGGAAATACGGTATGTTTCCACTAGCAGTATTGTCTTCTAATATAAACTTCTTCATTTTTGATAGTTTAAGACGTTTGTATATAAGCTTTATTATATATTTTATGGTTTGTAGTGTTGTGTTAAATGGTCTACTTATTTTAAACCCCATTCTGAGGTTTCGAATGCTATGCAGAAGCCCTGATCACAGGGGGGAACAAAGATGGAGGGCGCCCCTAATGTCAAAAATGTTATTTATATTATGTTGAAATAAATCGTCCTTGCCAGTAAATACCAAGTAGAGAGTCAATCATGTTGTTTGATAGTATTTAAATACCAATTTTCCAAGCAGATCCATATTTTTGAGTGAATTAGAGGTTTTGATTAGCATTCTCTACGAAATGAGAATGAGACATTACCGAGGCGTTTCCATTCGCAACAAATCCCACATCGGCATTCCCACGAGATTAATTAGGAAAAAAAGTGATGTGAGAAAGGACGGGTAATTATTTGTGAATGGTAAACATCTGATTTGCATCGAACATTTTCCCAGGAAATTGAATTGCGGAGGCCGGGAGAGAAATGATGTACGTTGATGTTTCAAGATCGAGTGTGATTAGTCGCGACTGTTTTCAGTTCGCAAGCTTGGCCTCTATGAAAATACTCTGACTGCGGAAATATTTCAAGGGTGCCCTTGGTTTTGCATTGTCATACTATTTATTACACTCGAATATTAAAACAACACTAGAACAGATAATAGATAAGCCAAAATAATACAGTTAATGTAGAAGAGTCAATTTATAGCCCGTCATTGCCGATACTGCTTCAATTAAAAGCAATGAACAAATAGCTTCATTAGTTACAAGAATGGCGTAAAGAATGTTAATAACCACCATAAATGTTATGTCGCGAGCGCACTTTCCCAGGCTCCGTAGATACCTTCCAGTAAAGCTGCAAGTGCCACCGATATTCCTCTTAATTTCCCAGATATTTTGACTTTTATTGTTGTGTGAAATGAGCGATTAGCGTCGGGTTCTGTCGTTTCTTGGCAGGCGGAGGGCCGGGTTATTTATATGCGTCAAAATTCCTAGCGCCCGCCGCCGTCCCGACATTGGGATCGCGTCACCGCGGGGCCACGAAGGCGATGCCCACGTACGAGATTATCAGAACATTACACATACGTGCTCTCGCCTTCCGTCGCTCTTCGAGAAATAAATGCGCCAGATAATGTCAGTCGCGTCCACGCGGCCGTTTATTGCGGTTGCTCTATAGAGGCACGTACCTGCGTGTATCGCTCGTGGCACACGTCGAATGTGCCGAGTCCAGTGACCCATCAGCCGTGCGTGAAGCGATGGTGCGCAAGGGGGACTCGTCTACCGGTGCCCTGCTAAGGACTCTGTCCGACGCGCTTCGCTGGCGCTCCCTCAGGGCTCTCTCTATGGTATGTCGGGGCGTCGGCTTTGACCGATTGTGTATCACCAAAGTCATAACAAATCATCATTATTCTTTCTCTATATTCACTATTTCTCGCTCAGGCGATTTTCGAAAATGTTGTGTCACTATAGCTAAATAATATAGAGTTGGAAGTTCCTACTTACACACCAGTCGTTAAAAATGATTTACAACTTAACAAACGTCGTATTTACGTTTCCGCGCCGTGTATGTTTGTAATGTTAATTCCTTGCGTCGATGTGTACTTAATGTTCATTAACACCGTGAACCCTTATTTTACGACGCGGCCTACTGCCGATCGAATATATTAATATTATGAGAATTGTTGAAATATTTTCTTTACTCCGGTACGCTGGATTATAAAATATGTTGTCGACTTGAGCTCGAAAGGTATGGGTTTGAATCTCTGGTCAATTGATCTGAAATAATAGTAGGGCCGAATGTAATGATGTCTTTTTCTTTTACATTTCGAACCAAGAACTTCTCTCGCACCGAACTCCAAAATCCATTTATATAATGAAAACAGTCACGTCATAACTTATTTACCCACTGGGGTATGGGGCAGATTTTGTGTACAACTCCATCGATTTCATCTTCCATAACCCGCAATGGTTAATGGGATTTTCATGGAAAATTAACTGTCCTTATAGCTTCGTGTAAATCTATGGAATCGTACGCTACCTTTCGTTACCTCAGTTCCATATGTGATCATATAAAACTTCCATCGTCCATACGAAACAGATGCAACCTAGCGACGTACGCTCAGAGTTGCGTTGTTTGGACGTTTCACACGATGCGATCGCGTGCTTATCGCGCGCTGTCTAGCTCCGCGGTGACTTAACCCTTGCCTTATTGATACTGTTTGCTCGTAATCGTTCTGTCGTCGTTGATTTATTGCGTATTTATAAGCCTTGTACCTTGTATGCACGTATTTTTAATGCGCCTTATGTTGTTTACAAGTATAATCTTGTTTTTGTTATTGAACACACTGCTTGCTGTTTTTTACTTTTATCTGTATATCGGTAAAACAAAGCAGTACTAAATAATTAATAATGGTGCTATTTTATTATTATTATTTGTTTGATTAGCAGCCAAAGCTGATGTGTGAAAATTTGGTAGTTCAAATTTCGAGTGTAAATTGATGTATTCTTTAAAACTAAACAGCGACAAAAGACAGTATAAAAGGAACTAATTGAGCGTTTAGTGGAATATAACAAAGGCATAGTTACACTGACAAATTGCAGTATTTGTTGATCAGTTTTACACGTAATATGCGCTTTAACAATTTTCTCACGGCATAAAATATGTTCACATGTATACGCCTTAGTCACTGGTGACACACTTGCACCTGTTGAGAAGACAGCGTTCGTCATTACAATACTGAGGCATTTTCTCACCGCGTTGCTTACCGTAAAGCTCTCTTTAGACTATAGAGTTATAGCTTAACGTAGCTCAATTGTCAAAAGCTATATAGGCTATCTCAGTTTAGTTACAGTATGGTCTCGTTGGTCTAATGGTAGCATTGTATGGCTAATAATCAACGGGCTTCGGGTTCGATCCCCTCCATGGCCAACTTGTTTCTAATTTTTCAATTTATATATTTTGTTAAACTTGACTGGACTTGGACTAGACTGGATGAAAAAGCCGTGTAACTTAATCGCGTGTTGCTTTCAGTCAGTCAGTTAGATGCTCTAGGCTGAGGTATATCACCAACCTTATTGTTGACTGTCCTCCTGTGTCATTAAAAAAAAGTATGTCGGCGCGCTATGAGCGACACGCTTTGTATTATAACGTAGTCTGTAAACAGCCTAATGTACATAAACAATACGGGAATCTAACAATTTGAGCTCGTGTTCCGTTCGCTAATTGATAGAGCGGAAGTAATAAGTCCGACAATTTCGCAGCATCAAATATTTTGTTAATTAAACATTAAAAACGCTTCAAAAGGCGTTTCGCCATATTTTCATTAGCGCGCTTAGACGGGCGCTGTGCGTCTCTTTGCTCTTTCTAACCCTTTTTGTGCAGACTGATTCATTTTTACGCGGCACATTTAACGAGAGACGTAATAAGACGTGCGCGTTAAATTTCTTAACGTAATATCGCATAATGTTCGCAATTAGCGCTCATTTCTGATTAGTACGGTAAAGATGAGATTGCTCTGCGGATGAGGAGTCGCGTGAATGAGAAATGTCAAGATCTTGGATCCACGCTGATCCAGGTTAAGGCCGCCCCTCATCACCGCCCCTTTGATTCAAGCTGCGTTTTCAATCTCGTGTCTGAAGTACAAAAATGCTTAGTTTCATAGCTTTTAATTGTTATTGTTACTTATTTAATATTATATTTGATTTTATGTATTGATTCAAATTCAAGTACAAATTATATATGGTTTGAAAATCCATAAATAACAAGCTATAGTTCTATTTCGGCTTGGTTCAGCTCTAAAAGAAACATATAGGGATAAAACGATTATTTTTTTGTTTCCGGAAACGATCGTGTGTATAGCATGCTTTTAATCCAGGTTAGAGCCGCCCTTCGTTGCGAACCGCGAGATATTACGCCACGGTCAAAAGTATAAAAGTTCGAAGAGATGTTTATATTAAAAAATATTGATACAATAGTAAGACGAAATTTCATCTCTAGGCACCTCCTATGATTTAAAAAATTATAAGTGAAAATGGATATTTTGTATTAACAATTTTTATTTTATTTTATTTTAAAATAGATATGACTATTACGGCGAACCTAAGTATAAAAAAAAACAGAAAATCTTTTATTCGCGTAGGTATAACTATATAATTGGGCAATATTAAACTAAACAAAACTTTATAGGCCTGAACTAGCAAATTTTTCATAATTTTTTTTTAACTTGGTATGGCAGACCTACGAAAAAAATTGCGTACTCATTGAAAACATTCATTTTGAACACATAGAAGCAATTTCTCTAGAATTATTATCATGATCAAAAACGGCGTTGCGTCTAGTTTTGTTTAACAGTACTTCCCATTGAAATGTTTGCTTCATCAACATGATGTTGGCCTGTCATGTGCCGATGTGTCCCATCTGCTGGCATCGACTGTTGTTATTACAACTGCCGACGCACCAGAAGATATGCCGGAATTGTTGTGCCTTCAGAATTAGGATGTTTGCAAAAATACCCTACGAACAGAACCAGTAAATAATATAATGTTACAACAAATTATGAGTGATGTGCCTATGCACATCACTCATAATGTTTGTGTGTTTTTCTATTATATTTTCTGTAAGATCTAATCGCTATCCTCCCTAAACGAAAGAAATTGTATATATATGCTTCCTCCAGGTGTCGTATTCAAAACGGCTCGTGCTTAATACAACGTTATATGTTATTTATTTTGTTCATATAGACATTATACACTAGGTTCATAACTAAGTTAATCTGCTTACATTTAATGCAAAATCAAAACGATTTGGACTTGTGGAAGAAGAAAAATAGTCGTGAGGAAAAGTAGACATTAACTTATAGATATAATAAGTTATGATTTATGTCTCTCTAATGTTTACTATTCGACGGAAACTGGCTACAGGTGAGACCGGTGAGGAAGGAGGAGGAGGTGTGCTGAGGAAATCCCTTGCAGCGGGACGAAGCAATAATAATGCAGTGTCATAATTATCTTTATTTAATGCGATAGTACATTATTTTTCACTCTGGACTACATGTTTTCTTCCATTCTTAAAGTCAAGGTATATTTCCTGCTACAGATAGAAAGGCCTCGACGGCGCTCTCGAAAGAAAATGAAATGTTACCACCGACATGTAGTAATGGCGCCGGAGTATATTGAAAAGTGTAGGGTCGTGCGGATTGATGAGAGTTCGGTTCGTTATCGCGACGCGAAGCAATAGAGCGGGGCCTGGCGGCGTGCTGTATCGCCGGAGCCGCCATCCGAAGAGATGAGTATGTTCGTTCTCATTCATCGGCGGGGCGCGGGGCGGCGACTCGGCAAGACGTCGCGCGCCGCCCGACTCCCGACGATATCGATTTTGTCCCACCCCCCGCGGCACCCCACGCGCCCGCTCTCAGCATCCGACCTCGAGTGCTCTCCTCTCGCGCCTACGGACACCTCCGACAGAAACTACGCCTTAACGACATGACGCCACAGCTCAAAATGCCAACCGGCCGCCAGCGCGCCGCGTCGCGTCGCCGAGCCCTAATGAACCCTGCGACCGAAAGTCACTCGGTCGAGATTGCAACGGCCCCGCCGCGATGCCCTCGTCCACGCCGGTGGAAAAAATAAGCTTTTTGTTACAATTAAAATGGTAAATCAAACCAATTTTAGTAATTGCGAGGTCAAACTTTTTAAGTGGCGGCACGGAGGGCGTGCTTTTTGAACGCGTATGGTTTTGAATGGCCCCGCTACGTCCGACGTACGGCTGACTCGATGAGCCGTGCGTGTCGACCGATTACATTATTAGTTTCGAGTCTCCGACCGCGGAGGAACTCAGACAACTTTTCGACTTGGCTGCTTGTTTCATTGCCGAGGTGGAGGGCCACAGACTCTCGTGGCCGCGCGCCATCGCCCGCCAAACGCTCCCGCTTGTGACTCGGGCTGAATATAACTAATTAAAATTCCTATGTTGTCTTGATTTTACTAGTTGACGGCGGAGCATAGTTGAGTGTTAATATATTTCGCTCTTTATGGCTATGTACTATTGTTAAGTGTAGAAGTCGAGAAGATGCAATTAATGTTCGAGTTGAATACATTTTTATTAAACTTCATATGGAACGCATTTTTTTACTATAGTTATGTTTCTAATAAAATTTGTTACCCCCACCTGTTACCTCATTGATCAAAGCCCAACAAACACCGACACCTCATTACGGTAAAAGTCCCTTCGGCACAAAAAGCCCCAGCAGCAGATAGTCGTTACGCTACCCGCCGCCGTAGCATCGCATGAAAATGTTGTATAAAAGGTAAAACTGAACTCGTGTCTGCGCTAGGTCTTTTAGTGATCAGCGTAATGAATAGTATCGATTTTATTTGCCAATGAAGACTGCTATTGACATATTTCATCTACCTGGCCATTGCACCTGAGCCATTTTTAATTCGCCCGATAGATTGTCGAGAGGCCGTTGTTTGTCGAAATTCCCAAGCTCTTCTTCGCACACAACGCGGAAGTGCGCTGTAGCTCGCCTTATGTAATATTATGTTTTAGAGCACGCCTCTTTTGGTATACAAAAAGTATATTGCTATTGTGTTGTAATATTTCTTGAGTTCATCTCCATTATAACATTACGCTTTCCAATTTTTTGTCTGTACACAACGAAAAACACTAAACAATTAAACTTATTAATCTTATAGGATGTAATAATGAAAAATCTTGTGCTAAATTAAATATAAAACATTTCATATTAATACTATGCATATTGAATATTTTGTCACTTCTCGTCTACTTCAAAAATACTTCTTATTGATTTATGAATCACATACGAACCTTTTTACAATATCGTGGGCAATAAATGCATTAATGAAGTCTTAGATGACAACAGCGGAGTCCCATAATCGGTCTACAGCGTCCCTAAGTATCGAGTCAATTTGCAACTTGCAACCGGCAACTAATCCCATAAGTTTTGTTCGATAGAATGTGTCCAATGTCTGGCTTTGCATTGTTGTACTTCTCAAAACATTGCCGTATTGTTCGAAGTTTCAATCGAGCCACACTCGTTCTCCCACTGCCGACTACCTACGGCGTATTTAAACGGTTTTTACTCCGAGGGCCGCTTCCACTACTGGCGCTTATCGGCCGGTTACTTCATAACGCGCTGTAACTCGTCCATTTATTATATATGCTCTTCAAAATACAATATGTTTGCATCTTGTATGACGCGATTCTTTTCGTTTTATTACGAAGTAACAGGATTTTTGTTTCGCATAATAATTAATATCTAATTACTAATTCGGAACTAATTGACAATATTTTTTAAATCATATAATATGTATTTGTATACAATGAAGCGGTATGTACATTCTCTTTCAAATTGAATTTATGTATAGAAAAACGTAAGTAATAAAGTAATGATTTGTTGTCGAATCAAACAGCTGCAGCAAAAGTGTTGCACATGCATCCGTCATCGAAATTAGCGTAGCAAGTAGCGGCTCAATAAAACGCATCCCGAGTCACAAAAGCGACGGAGCCCAGCACGGAGGCCGGCTCACTTTTGATTTGAATTTATCGTCTGCGCATTCAGACATTAGTCATGCTGTTTGTCGCTTTCAGTGATCTCGCTTCCCGAAAGCCGTTATTATTGGACTCAAGTCGTTTAAATTGCACTCGCCGAATGATTTATTGCGCCCACACTATGCCACTTTCATTGGCGAGCCTTTGGATATTGTGCGCCGATGTGTTGCCGATTGGCGTTTGACGCGTGCCTGATGATGTCAATGATTGTTAATTAATCTTCTACAATTGGTAGAAATGTATGGGTAAATAATCAACGAGACGTGAGTGCACCGGATCGAACATAGTTCTAATCAATTAAAAAAAAATACAACAAAACGTACAACACCAACGTCCACAGTCCTGCAAAATAAGGCTACAGCATATCTTGTTCGTATATTATACTAGCTGTGGCCGCGACTTTGTCTCTTGTAGAATAGTTATTTTGGGCATCAATATGTGTTTTGCAAACCTCCTTCTCATCTCATATATATATTTGTTCTATATTTAAATCGGTTAAAGAGGAATTATTCTGTCATACATATTTTTTTGGTTGTCATAAAGTCTTATGTAAAAAACTAACTTATTTTGTTAATTAAAAACCATCTTTTATGTTTTTCATTAAAACATGCAACATTCAGTTTGTTTAGCTCATTTTAAAGTTTGAGCAATTTTTCAACTTGTACTCCATGCTGCGTAGTATAATATTTGTTTTACGATACTGACCCATTCGATCTTGACAACACCATTTTTGCTATCAGCTCATTATTTCGATAACACATTCAAGCATATGAAACGCGATCTATTTACTGCCCGAATCAGTTCTTATCTCCACTCCACTCTCGTCTTATTAAATACCTCGAATGTTTTACTCATAAGTCATCGCGTCGTTCAACAAAAACAAACAGGACAGCGATAATTATAATTTTCTTAATGAAATATCAACGCAACGAACGCTCTACGGAATAACACCTGAACGCGTGCAAACATCGTAAATAAACATGCACTCTACTATTATCTGGACGTATTTGTGTATTTACAATTATTATGAAAATGCCCTCGAAAAGCGTCTACACTGACCTGCCTCAACGAGGGGAAAGCTTGGGGTAGGAATGGCGTTGCATCCGTCCATTCGCCCGGTGCAAGGGTGGTTTTGCATAAGTACATAGACCTCGGTTATACTTACGCGAATGTGTCTGTCTGCCTTAATCACCGGATTTATGAATGCCGCGGTATAATTATGACTCCCTGCGCATTCGCCGTATACCTATACCGCGGTTCTCGATGTGTTTTTTTTTAGTTATATGAGCGTGAATCGGTCGATGGCGTATTGGCTGAAATTTTCGATGCTCGCTTTGGCTCCGACATTAATTTTGAATCGCTTCACTTAGGCCGGAGTCTGAAATAAACGTGACCTAGATCGATAAGTCTCAGACGGTCGCAGCGGACCCGTCATCCAGCTGATGGCATTGCGCCGGCATATCAACAGCTCACCGGAATGGCTCAAGAGCGTGCGTGCCTCACTCGACGCACCGTGGCAGCCCTCGGTCGCAGCTCGCGGGCTCCGTACGCGGGCCTCGCATCGGATCGGGTCAGTGAACCCGCCCGCCCCCTATCGGGGTAAATATGCCGAATGCACACAGATGCGCGCGCCGGGCCCCTCGCCCGCACACTGCACTCTGCACGCATCCACCCCCGGCCCCTCTTAAAAACTCCTAATTGATTGCGCAAATTCTCTCGCAATAACTGTCTTTCTATCGTGTTAACGATGCAAACTTGCGCAGTTGCCGAACTTTAATCGTGACCGCGATCCGACGCTCCCGACGCGACCGACGACGTCCCTATGAAAAATTAATTAGCGACCCGCCTCTCGCCGGTGCCGTTCTGGCCGCCGTCGACGGATTTTTCATCGGCGCATCGTCATAGACGCGTTTAAACAAATATGCGACGTGTATGCGTTTTTAATCACATATGCACCGATCGATACGGCCCACCCGCTGATTGCTCTCGCGATGATTCAAGCGTTGCGTCACCGGCGGCGGTGATGTCACGATGACGTTATGCCGTACGAAGGGCGCTGCACAAGAGAGTAATGCACCCCTCATTTGTTGCACACGGGGAGAATGCTCTAACGTCTGATACAGGCAACTTTTGAAACGCCTTGCCTCCATATGCACGATCCAAGCATCCCTCTGCCCTCGCTATTTATGTATTAGTAAGGAAGATATACAATAGCTTAATCTGGTAGTCCAACGTCATTTACTTATAGCGGAAGCATTTACCTACCAACTGACTGGTTTTTCCGCTTATAGCATTGCAATTTAAGTCTAAGACTCTATAAATTCCAATAAAACAGTTTAATGAAATAAAGATATTTATCCAAACGTGACAACCCAACCTGTTTTATCGACTGTCATTTTTTTACAGACACAGAACAGACACAGAATGAAACCGAAACGCGATTAACTTTACGGCTTTTTTATTCTTGTTGTAATTCTGGTATGAATTGATTAGACCTGGTGGGGATCTAAACCACGACCCGTTGATTATGCGCCATCTATTGCTGCCATTACACCAACGGGCCCGACAAACATGACAGCACACCTCACGCGCGTTCCAAGGGTGAAGTCGCCCACGTCTCGGCAGCGACGGCTCTCGATACCGCGACGTCAGCGCTACGTCTCGAGTCTAATCGATACTCTTTATAGTTAAATTAAATGTCAATGAGGAGACCTTATTCATTGCCGCCTTCCGCTCGAGTGGCCGGCCGCGGCCTGCGCTTGACCCATTTAAGAATTAAAGCTCGTCTTAATTAAACATGTCTGAATACTTTCCGGTTTATTTGCATGTCTCGAAAATGTTTGTTCCGGCTTTTAACCGTTTAAAAAATCGTTTATTGGCACGGTTTAAGATAATATAGGGGTAGAGTGTGGTGGTAAGATGAAAAAATGGAGGTTTGTTTAACCTTCAATACAGTAATAAAAAGCTTTTAACGTGAAACGGACATTATTCGTTTGAACTTATTTAAAAATTATTTTAACTACGGCCTGAATTCTGGAATGCTTTCCAGTTGTGGTCGCCACTAAAAATGATTTATTCTAACAGACCTTCTTAATAAACAAATGCTCAGAAAATATTTTCATACCTACCTAACTGAAGAATCTTTTTTTATCAATTAGGAAATATATTTGTGCTTAAAAATTCCAACCTACGAAAGTTGTAAACACAAACTACGGATTTTTTTACCTGTAAAAACTTCCACATTTAGAGTTGAGAACGAATTAAAAAGTATTGTTCTCGCAACACTTTGCAAAGTATAAACCAAAGGTTACGTTTCTATTTACGGCAACACAAACTCGGTAAAGCGAGTCGCCGTAATATTTCTTAATCACGGCAACTTTGGAAGTAAGTTGCGCCGGCCGAGTCGGGAGTTTCGTTGTTTCGGAGGCTTTAAATCATACCGATTCGGACGACCCCCGATAAGCGCCGGAATAGACGACGCACGCTGGAAATGGGTCGAAACGGTTTTATTGACGTTTTGTAGGTGTAAGTGAATTGGGCTATTGATATACGGGTTGACATGCCATCCGGCGATTAGGTGAGGTCGTGTTCTGGTCAGGGACGGTCAGTTATGATATTGTAAATAAGGCTTCGCGCGGTACAGGACAGACTCAAGATATTTGAGATACCGCTGTTGTTTAGTTCCTGTATTTTAGATCCCAATCGTGTAAAACCTAACTCGTTTATGGACAAACACATTTTTGTCACTAGTTTTAATAAATTGCGAATTGTTTTTGTTAAAATCATTTTAGTGCTTCTATGCTTACACAAGTGTGTAATGTAAGTACATTGGCGGGCTCGTTGATGTAATTGTAGCAGCAATTTATGGCTAATTATCAACGTGTCGTGGGTTGGATCCAAACCAGGGTCCAAAATGTTTATAATTCTACATGTTAAACTCTTATATTGAAATCTGGATACTGTATGAGTGTTAGGAATATCGAAATTCCGTCTCGGTAAAAAAGCCCCAAAGTTTAATTGCGTTTCGGTTGTAGTCTGTGGATTTTCGAATAAATCCAAAAAGGGGCGACAGCGCATCTCGCTTAGATATTACATGGCTATGGTATTTCACCTTCAATCAAGTGAAGTCTATCATGAAAAAGCAGACTTTTATTTGTCTACAAGGATAATACCAGGAGAAAGTATATAGTTCCAGTGATGTGGTTGGTGCTAATGCGTTCTGCGAATTTGCTCTGCCTCTACGATGCTTGAGTAGCAGATCGATTGCCAATTAATCACTCCAGTGTTTCATAAATCATCTACATGACTACATACGATATAAATATCCACTGGAAAAACACACTTCGCGTCTGTGCGCCCTGTTATGTAGCATTGAAATATGCCGGATTCGAATATCGGTAAAAATGCTAGGCGTCTTTATCTCATACATACTGATTTCACACTGAAATATGTGTTTCACCTGTTGTTCTCATGGAAACGTGATCTTTTCTGATATTTAAATTAGTTTTATTAAGTAGATTCATTTTAATATTATTTATTCGCCACGCGCATTGTTTAATTTTACGAACACAGTGTGCATACACCGATGGCAGGTGGTTGCGCTAAGTAGGCGATCGAGTTGCCAAAGGAAATCGGAATTACTGCTAATAAGAGGGTAGACGAGCAAACTCTATACGTGAACCGCGCGTCATACGTTTATCTCGATCACTTTAACCTGTCTATATTGCTGAGTGGTTTAGGAATATTCAAGATCGAAAAAATATTGCGTAAAGCGCGAGAGATTCTGGTTCGAATTTAGGGCATGCTACAAATTAAACAGGTTAAGCGGACATTTAAATATGGCTATCTCAAGTTTCACACGGCGTAAACGGAAACTCGCAAGGAACCCAACGAAAGTTGCGTCTGATTTGATTCCCTTATTAATATGTTTCCATCGGTGCGACTAACAAGCTAAAACGTGGCAGCTCAATAGCAAGTGTTTATAATAAATTCACGAAGTTTAGCCAGACTCACGCTCTCGTCGAGACGCAGTTAGCGGATCTGAATAGGAGCGGGTCCGCGGCCCGCCTGCGAGTCGCGCCGCCGTTCATTAGACAGTTAACCGAATAGTGGATCAAGATATCAGGTGCGCTGCAAACAAAACGTTGAATAGAGGCCCGGTTCAACATGCACGACGGCTGTACGGGTATAATTAAAGTTTAGGAGACGCTCACGTCGCCCGTTAACCTCGTTATCGGGCGTTGGAAGTGGGTGAGACGCGGCGCGGGAGGGGGCGCCGCTGCGTGGGGGGCGCGGGCCGGGGGGCGGGGGCATGGGGAAAATCAATGACAGCCGCCGCGCGCCGTCTCTCCCCGGCCCAACGCGCTCATCTCGACCGACGACCACGTGCCGCGGTCACTGGCCTGCCGACTGCCACCGAGAACACCTTCGGACAGATTAGAGGGACCACCATATAACCCAGATCTGATGTCTTAAGTTCCGAGGAATACAGTTTTCTATGTCCGTTTGCACTGATAATTTTTTTTTTGGCTGGCATAAAAAAAGATGAACCGCTAAAAGTTTATAGAAACTACGCTGATAGAAAGGCCAGTATTTAGGAAATAGAAGAATAGTAATTATAAAAGCGAGTAAAAAAGTAATTAAGGAATAAAAAAACTGCGTACTCGTTATATAGTACCTATTCGCTGGTAAATAAAATAAATGGAGATGTTAAGTCATTTTAATAACCATAAACATCACTGACCTAAGGTTAAACCGTCCTTCCGACCAAACATCCAAGGATGTGGATGTGGGAAGGCCACATGAAACGACGCGCGGGCGATTCGATCCGTCTGGGCATACCGTAATAGGTGACTGCCAATATGTAGGTCGGAGGCAGAAATTTGGGTTATCGGCTTCCCCGTCGATATGCGACACTTCCGCCGCGCCGCGAATGTTATGCGGCGGACGATATTGTCCGTCACGGCACTTACGTAACGGTGGTGAATGCCAGATATTCTAGGTCGTGTGACGCGACTCTGACGCATCGATCGACGCAACGCGTTTTTCGAATTGGTATCGAACTTGATATGGCGTTAAACCACTAATACTGGGGTCACATAGTCGGTAATAAGTTCGAAATTTAGTAGCTAACTAGCTGTCCCAGCGACTTCGTCGGCATAGAATAGTTATTTTGGGCATCAGATGAGGAAGACAAGACCTCATCTTTCGTTCTTGCAAGTTAATCTTAAAAGATAGACATAAACTGTCAACATCTTTCTAGATCTTTCTTCCATACTCTTTTTTTTTCACATTTCCCACTATTTAACGCCTGACGTTTGATAGCGTAAACCAACACTAAAGAAAAATTTCAATCCCAGCCAGTATTTATTAATTTTAGCGCGTTCAAACAAACAACTGGCTACGGCCAGAAGTTAATTCTCTCGTTTTAGAAAATCTTATCAATAATGTTAAGCAGTCTGAGTAATAATCAAAGACAGACCCAGCACAACGCAGACGCATCGGAGACTGTAGCCAATGGCGCGATTATAATACCAGATCAGCCGGCCAGTGATAGCCAGTTCGCATTAGAATGTAACTAATGGAGCGGTGAGTCACCGAGACGTCGAGACGCGATGGGGTTCCGCATAAAAAATCCACAGCTACTCACCTAGCGTCGGAAGCATGCGGCGACCGTATGCATGCATGTTTATACATTGGGCATCGTCGATCAATGTCAACCGCATATTTGGGTCAACGTCCGTCGAAATTCCCTCTCGCCTCCTCGCCCTCCTATTAACTGTGGGCACTGTGACTCGTGCATCGTTTTTTTCGTTCGTCTAGAAGCCGTGATTATCTTTTTTCATAGCTGTCGTCGATGATGTATGATGAATCACAATAAATAGCCGGTAATGATGTGATTACGGCCGTGAAATTACTGTTAGTGCGTTAGTTGGGTTGCGTAAGGCATTTCTTCGTGTGATCGTGTGTTTACATGTATGATAACTGACGTTGAGCCTAAATATTTAAAAAATACATTCCGGGAAAGGAATAGTTGATTCCTTTGATGGCGTATCATTTAACTTAAGCTATTGTTTTTTTTCATTATTACGGATTATTAAGAAAAAAGTTTAATCACAGACAATTGAAATACAACTACAATTATTCTCTAAATCTTTATCCTTTACGAAATATTATTTAAAATAAGCAAATAAATTGAGTTAACAGTACATCATTTGTACGTATTATGCAGATCATTGTATAAAACCATAAATATTGGTTAAGAAAAGGCCGACCGAATTTACTATCTATAACTCTCATGTGTCTCACTGGCAACTTCTATCAAAATTGAAAACGTCACGAGCCCGAATAATTACGTCAAGGGTTTTCGCGTAATAATTGTTATTTGACGTATTTCCTCGCATCAAATAAAAGTAAATAATTTCGTTCAATGTTTCGTACCTAATTGTGTCTTCGGCGAGACACCCGTCAAATAAAAACTGGGAAACAACAAATCAGTTTTGGGGAAAAATGAGGTGAGGAATGAACGTCTTATTTACCTTTATTGTTTTTGTTTTATTATTGTTCGCTCCGCTCGAGTAGCATGATCCGGCTTTCGCGATATTTAATTAATCATGCCGTCTTCGAGGATGTTGTTCTCGATTTCCTTGGGCCTTTATCAGGCGAATGTAGGTTTTTAGTCTATTCGATAAGTGGCCAATTATTTACGTAACCAAATTGTTTGTATAAAATAAGAAAAGTTATGTTTACTGGTAAAATATCTTTATTTAAACCGCATGCAGAGTGCTATTAAAATGCGTTGTAATTTACATCGTTACGTTCGTAATTTTGTGTTCTAAACCTTCAAAGATGTTATATTTAAATCCCTTTACCTACTACTCGAGTAAGATGTGAACCGTGCCATACCAGATTGTTGATTCCCTCCGTCTCCTTACAGGTATACTACGCAAAGAAGAAGCGGAGAGCGCAGCAGTACCTGGGCGACGACGGGTCGCACAAGAAGGAGCGCAAGCTATACAACGACGGGTACGACGACGACAACCACGACTACATCATCAAGCAGGGCGAGAAGTTCCTCGACCGGTACGAGATCTCCTCGCCGATCGGCAAGGGCTCCTTCGGACAGGTAATTAATAATTTAAGTAAAACTTACTTAAATACTAAAAACTTCACGTTTGATTCTATTGATAAGGACGTTATTTGCGTCTTTACTCAAGATAGCTTGAGGGTAGTTACTTTGTTATCTTAGTATTCGTTTTATTATCATATAAATAAAACAAGTTTTTTTTAGGTAATTGATTAACATTATGATTCTAGGTTAGCATATAAATAACCTGACAAGAATCACTAAAAGCTCTAATAAAAACTAACGTTTTAAAATCTTATCCCCTTCAGTTAATCATATATACATGCAGTATATAAAAATGTCTAAAATTTGTATTAGGGCCTTAAGTAGTTTAACATCCTTGGTTCTGAATATTTAGTTCTGAACAGTTTTAATCGTTGAATTATTAACTGTTTGTAGTCCACGGAAAACGGTCCCTTTTAAACGGTAGTTTAAGTTCGTTGCCTTAAAATCTAAAATCAATACTTTACTATGGTCGAATTTCATTTAATACGAAAGTTATTTGACATAATAAGTATAAGGTGGCTGAGACTAAATATACGACATAATATTTTAGCTATTTTTGGTGTTAAGTAAGGGAATATCACTAGAAAAACATTGCAGGGTAAACATTGTATGGATATCCTATAATTTTTCCCGAATGATTCCTAATAAAAACGTAGCAACTTTTGTAATTACAGAAGAATGTAGTTAATATTATTGCAAATTATTTTTCAGGTTGTGAAAGCGTACGACCACGAGGAGCAATGTCAAGTAGCGATAAAAATTATTAAGAATAAGAAACCCTTCCTAAACCAGGCACAAATAGAAGTGAAGTTACTAGAAATGATGAACAGGGCGGACGCCGAAAACAAGTATTATATAGGTGAGTTATATAAAATTTATTTATTAGGCAAGGAGGTCGTCGACCTCGTACTCAGCTTTGAATATTGTAGCCTCGGTTTGTATATAAAAACGAATCATTCTGCGTATCAAGGAATACAGGACTTAAATTCTTGGTAATTCCCGTTTAGCAGTTCGCTTTGAGGTAAAATAAATGCGCAGTTACAAGCGTAATGTCGCCTCGGTCAAAATGTCTTGGACCGGATTTTCCTCGTGTCGCAATATTAATATTGAGAACATTAAAGTTCGGACATTTTGAAGGCATAAATCATGATTGATTATGCTTGGGTGCAAATTATTTCTTAGCTTACTAGGTACTAGTTACACATCACAAAAGTCTGTGAATGGCAGTATATACGATTTTGGTAATTCTTACATAAAAGTTACAACTACAAATACAAACCTAAGTAACACAGGCATATGTTGGCTTCATACGTAAAATAACGCATCATCTAAAATTAATCCTGAACGGGTTGCTACGAGGTGCTACGTCGTAGCTGCTTTTGGTCCTACGAATGTGTTTGGCTTTTTTTAATATTTCACATTAAAAATTCTTGTCAAATGAGCTTTTATCGTAGATATTAAAATTAACTACAACGCAATTTCTTTTTCTTTTCTTATAAGTCTTAAAACTCAATTTCAAACAAAATCATCACTCCAAGTAAGCCTTTTTCTAAGATAGAAAAGGACAGACAAGCACAATGTCCACTTGACGGTAGATGTAATGCCCTAGCCATATAACTTCTAAACAAGTTGCGCTGTCGACCTATTAATATCTAGATTTTCAATTGTTTAGAAAACTGTTGGACCTGGGGATCCTCCCACTGTCCGTTGATTCTTAGCCATACATTGCTACTATTACATAAATCTCAGCTTTTCTATATGTGTAGATGCGTGTGGGTGTAAACTTAATGTTTCTCTATGTTTGCGTTTCCAGTGAAACTGAAGCGCCACTTCATGTGGCGGAACCACCTGTGCCTCGTGTTCGAGCTGCTCTCGTACAACCTGTACGACCTGCTGCGCAACACCAACTTCCGCGGCGTCTCGCTCAACCTCACGCGCAAGTTCGCGCAGCAGCTCTGCACCGCGCTATTGTTCCTTAGTCAACCTGGTGAGTACACAGATATAGATAACCTTTTAATGAACCGCCTCTGTAGCCAAATGTTAACGTGTTACCTAATTGCGTTAAGCGTGAGAGGTCCTGGGTTCGAATCCCTAAAACAGAAGTTTGATCAACTATTTGCCTGTAAAAGAACTGACCAGTGAAATGGAGAATAAACGGAATTTCACTTTACCCTAGTCGTAATGAGCCCTTATAAAATAAAATAAGGGCAAAAGACGTAACCAATTTTATTTGCCTCATGGATCAAATTTTGCATAAGTTAAAAATATGTTAGGAAAAATATTTACTTTTGCTTAATTTCCTTATCGGCCTATCGCCCACTGGCGTTGTTAAACTTAATCCTTTTCAATTCGTTTCAGAACTTAATATAATTCACTGTGATCTTAAACCCGAGAACATCCTGCTCTGCAATCCAAAGAGGTCGGCCATCAAGATTGTGGACTTCGGCAGCTCGTGTCAACTAGGTCAAAGGGTAAGCACTAGAACGCACTATGATTGTAAAAATATAAATATGAGGAAGAAAAAATACCATATTATGCCTACGTTTCGCCAAAATAGTATATACTATGAGCACATGGAGTGCCTAAGTACGGAGTTTATTTACGTTATCGTACTGATAAATCCTTTAAAAACATGTTTATTGGTTATTCGTAAATGGCAAACTCTTGCGCACATAGCTTCTCTCGCTTAGACGGTGGTTTAAAAAGCTTAGGCCACATTGCTCTTCGAGACACAGGGGGTAATGAATGACACCTCCTTCATGCAAACTGGGGTCTGGCATTTGCGAGTACCCAGTTGGTATTTACAAAATACCGAAGTAATATTTTGCCCAACGTAGGATTCAAACAGCGGACCTCGTGCTGGCGAGTACCCAATGATTTTTAACTGAATATTTTTGTAGTATAGATAGTAGGACGCAATTTTAAATTTTATCTGCCGCTACGTGTGAATTGCATAACATCGAATACCACCAATATAATGTGTCATCTTATCACTGTTGTTATCACTCGGAAAAACCGGTGACAACCGCATCGCTTTGTCTCCGCGTAAACATGTCGGTTGGTTTCATTTACTCTGAACGCAATTTCAACGAATTTATGTACTGACCCTTTCACATCTAGACTTAGCATGCGTGTTATATGCACCGACTTTGTACACATTTTTATGATTTTATCACGAAAATGTAAGAACGAACAAGTGTATAATCACACAAGAAAAAAAAGTAGGTTTTGTTAAACTTTAAATAACGTAGATTAGATATTTCTTTCATTAAAGTCTAAGTCTGACGTCATAGAGGAGTTATATCTATAAGTGTTTGGAGTCGGTGGAATCAATGAGATCGCAGTCAAATGTTATCGCGAATTGCGCGTCAATCGCTCTCCGCTACGGTCCATTCAACGTGCCGCCACACAGATTGTTTCCCACTGTCTTTATCTAATATATCCTTAGAATCGGCTTGATTGATTTTTATGAAATTTCGTAGATGTAGGTTTTTAATATGTTATCCAACCTTTATTATTATTTTCATTTCATGTATATATGCATTTAAACACACTTAGGTATCCCTAAATTTCATTATTTCACCTCTTCTCAGTCTTCTGTGGCGATCCCCCCCCGTTTTAAAAAAATTTTTTGGTTTGGGGGCATGGGTTTGGAACCCAAAACTTAAGTTTTTTCAATCGGAGATTTGTTTATGCGCCGAAGCAATATTCTCTGTATCAGCTAGTAGTGTAAACAATAAAATTACTGAGACGCAATCGGTGTCATTGATACCGGCCGTAATTAATTGAAGACTAATTAGAGTCAACTCCGCGTCGCTTACGATATCCTCGTTGTTTATGCGCGATATAAATCATGCGGCGCGGACGTGCACCTAGATACCAATAATTGAATGAGAGAGACGAACGTCGCAGAGTGATGTTTTTATGGAAATTATGATTGATTAGCGGCTAGCTCTTGAATGGGCTCGAAGAATGGGGTCGCCCCTATGTCTTTGTTTGGTGGGTCGAAGTCATATGGTACAGAACTGCAAGGCCTTTGCAAATGTTAATTATATGAACATAGTTCGTTAAATTCTTTGGTATCAATGTTTTATAGATTTCGGATCACACGAAAGAAGGATGTATAAGGGTACTTCAGTCAAACAGTAGGTCTTATTGATTGCATTCTCGGCTTATCCTTACCCCTATACACACACCTTCCCCCCACCCCCTTGAATTATAATATATTTTTGAACCTTTCCTTCCAGATATACCAGTACATCCAGTCGAGGTTCTACCGGTCGCCGGAGGTGCTGCTCGGTATACCCTACGACCTGGCGATCGACATGTGGTCCCTCGGCTGCATATTGGTCGAGATGCACACGGGCGAGCCGCTCTTCAGCGGAGCCAACGAGCTGGACCAGATGAACAAGATCGTGGAGGTGTTGGGCATGCCTCCGGATCACTTGTTGGATCAGGTAAGTCCCCATGTAAAATCATATTTTCCGGATATAAACCTAGGTAGACATCTATAGGCTTCATTACTGCTAAGATGGATCTCCTTAAATAATATAGTAAGCCAAAAAGACGATACGAAAATTATATGATATCATACTTTAACTCTACACGTTTTATAGAATTACTAATGTGTCGTACTTAATATCTTGTGACTCTAAAGATTTTCCACACGATGGAGTAACAAGTGAAAATTCGTGTTAATTGTCAAAGTTGGGACTACGTCTAAACAGCGTGTAATTGCCCTTATTGTGTTATATTGTGGTTGTCTGACCTAGTTCGGTGTTGCGATATTAGTTATAGATATCGTTCGTAATCGCAGTGTTTTTGTCTTTACTAAGGTTTTCCCTATTTTCACGCTTCAGTTGATCAATTACTGTTTAGTAATATGTTACTCCTTACTTATTAGGTACTTTGCTACTTTTTATTCGGTAAAGCAAAAGCGTACAATATTTGAATAGAGTAATCTTACAAAGGTAATACAAAGCAAATGAATTCTCTTTTAACATAAGGTAATAATGTATAAGAAATATTAATTATCTAAACCTTTTCTCACTAACAAATCATTGTTTTTCGGGCTGTTCGGCCGACGTGAGCAAGAAGGAGAACGAGCACGAGCGGACGGCATCATCAAGACTGGATCAAACAATTAATTTCCTCGGCCGAACAGCCCGAAAACCAATGATATACTGAACGATTGTCGCGAAAGCCTTACACAAGTTATTTTCGTTTCTAAACATTTTACATTTATATATACAATTAAAAAATCATAAAAGAGAAACAAAACATTGGGTATCGTAAAAAAAAGCCCCGGGGAAACATTTGGGAAAATTAGGCAAAAATAGCTTAGTTATGAGACCCACTAAACAATTAAACACCATTAAACTATTAATACAACAGCCATTAATGTAGTACGGGTCAACAATATTAGATTTCAACTATTCAAATATTAACTACATCGATTGGTCTAAAACAGGCCCGGGGTATTCCAAATTAATCGATTCTAATTTGTTTCAGGCACACAAAACTAGAAAGTTCTTCGACAAATTACCGGCTTCCGAGGGAGGCGGTTATGTTCTGAAGAAAGTAGCGAGTAAAGATGGGTGAGTATTCTTTAGTTTTATATTATATCGTACAAACTAGAAATTAAAATTAGTATTTACCAGCGTTGCCAACTATAGTTTAGATCCTATATGCAACGTAATACAGACTTTTTGAAGGTAGATTTTCTTACAAGATTGATGGCACGGTATGCCTTTCGGTTTGACCCCAGCTGTACATACATTGTCTCTTTACTTTAATTAAATCAATTTGTTTCATGTTAAACAAGTATTGTTAAAGTAATATCCTTAAATAATATTAGGTATTAGCAGAATGTTCTGTAAACATCTTACCTAAGTTTGTTCAGTGTCTCCCCATGACCACGGCGGCTGCAAAGCATCCGAAACGTCGGGCCGTAGTTAAAATAATTTCCAAATAAGTTTAACTAAAATACATCGCGTTTTAAACCATTAAGGTATTTTATTTAATTTGTGTGCTTCCTACAGTATTCAGTAAGTTGTTTAATTTTAGCTTAATATATGTTCACAGTGGCTACAGGAAGTATCGGGCAGCGGGCACGAGACGGTTACACGACATTCTCGGCGTGGAGGGCGGAGGCCCGGCCGCTCGCCGCCGGGGCGAGCCCGGACACTCTGTCTCCGACTACCTCAAGTTCAAGGTGCGACAGGGCTACTCGAAGCCAAAACTTATGAAAACAAACGTTAATTGTTACCAAGTTTATGTATCTGTTCAGATCTATTTTTATCTTGTCTGTTTGAATATGTAATGAAGTAAAATATACGTTGTTTTAACAGACTTGTAAGTAGTGTAATCTGTTATGACATGCCTAAACTAGCAGATTAACAGTAGAAAACGACAATGTTTTTCAGGACCTCATCCTGCGCATGCTCGAATACGACCCGAAGCAACGGGTGACGCCGTACTACGCGTTACAACACAACTTCTTCAAGCGAACGGCCGACGAGTCGACGAACACGCAGCAGGCACAGGCGCACCACCAACACGGTCAGTGAGGAGAAAAAAAGCTAACATCGCCCTTACATTGACAACTTTACAATAATTTATATATGTTATGTATGAAATGTTACTAAAATTCAGAGAGTATGTGTAACTTAAAAATGTTAAAATCTAAAACAGCGGGTTCGACTCCCACCTGTGTCAAATTTAACATTCTCGTTTGTCAATGTAAGTTCAACTCTCAAGCTGTTGATTGATTTAAAGGAAGCCAAAACATGCTAAGATATAAAATGTATGTGTAAAATGCCTCTTATACAAGATTCATTTCATTCGTGCTGCTATCTATGTATTTATTTACGACTTCGAGAATTGCTGTTTCAATTAATATTGGTGTTCAAAATGGTGTTTAAGGCTCGATACCCTGTTTGAAAACCTCCATACAAGTCAGGCAATACCTACTTAGTCCTACTTAAGATAGAATTGTAATATTTCTGTATTTATATCGAAACGTTTGTATAATAAGTGTATCGAGTCTGACTCTTGTCAAATGATTCTGTGTAGATGTGATCTAACATCATCGAAGCTTGTGCTAACATCTCATCATATCATTTCCAACCGAGCGGCAATGTACGGTGTCTCTTCGTCATGGAAGTTACCTGTTGTAAAAATCATCATTTTTCGTCTGTGGCAAGCTTTTCTCACACTACCCTCCGATGAAAACGAAATCAATATTGATAAAAGGCGTAGTACAGTTCTGTAGATTTCCTATGTGCTTTACTTTATAATTTTTTTGTCTTTGAATTTGCAGAATCTTTTAGATTTGAAAAAGAGGTGTGATAAAAGCTTATTGTTAAATGTGGAGTCATGGGGGCGTTATAGTGGTTGCGTTAAAAAAAAAAAACGTTGTTTCCTAATAAATGAAACCGTAACAGAACTAGAACTAGATAGGGTTCAAAATATATTTCTAATTGTTGAAATTTGTTTGTTCATAATACGCTTTAGTCTATTCAACTGAAACCTTCCTTCCTCCTAAGGGGGAGAGGGAGTCATCCTTTCCCTATTAAATTGTTTCGGTACTAACTTGTATTTGTGAACCCCCCCGATATTCTTCCCACCTTAAACGCTACCACAATAACGCCATTTAAAAGGTGATTTCCATGAAGTAACTCGTATGGTTGTTGATGGCAGATGGTCCGTCGGACCCGCGATGACTAGAACGGTCCGGCGGCGCTCCCTCGCGACACTAACGCCGCCTCTAACTTATCACAGGTCTGACTCACTCGCCGATACTTACATCTTACCCACAACTACCTTCATTTTTCATGGTTTGTCTAAACATTGTGGATACTGAGTCAAGTCAGTTTGCTTAAAAAAATAACTTGATAGAAAGTATCCACTTTCGTTTGACAAATTTTAAGATCTTGCAATTCACGAACTTGTTCTTCTGTAAATGTTTATATATAAAAGATTTATTCATCTATTAATAATTGTATTTTTGAGAATTGCAAGGTTTTTGAGTGTTCTGTATTGGGACGTTACGTAACTAGCAATTTGTAAGTTTATGCCCACAATTTTACTAGGTTCTCGAAAACAACATGGCGTTACGTCCCAAGTACAATTTAAATTGTGAAATAGCATAACCCACACTGCATGCTTCCTTTGCATTGATCTTGCATGGCTTAATTCTGTTCTCTCTTTCATGCCTCGATTATTATACCAATTGAGTTTCATTCATTTTGTGTTTGCATCAGTATGAACGGTGTATGTCAAACTAAGTCGTTCACGATGTACAATAGTTTTACGTTGATAACTGCCTCAATATTAGTCGATCCTATAGAATGCTTTTAGATTCTTTAAAATAAGGACTGGACTCATACTTGGGCTAAGTGTAAAAGCATCATTACTTTATTTTACCTAAACTTCACATTCAGCCTAAAATTTGTTCCCCAAACTCAATTTCAGTAAAAATACTGAAATTGGTTTCTCAAACTAAATGGGAATCGATATTGGTTAATTGTACGTTTTTAAAAGTTAAATTTATAGTGGGTACTCCAACCAAGTATGATTCCAGTTCTTAGGTAGTTAAGCGATGATCGTAACGTGTTATTGGATGCGCAGTGGGCGGTGCGAGACTATGGGGCGGCGCCGAGCGGATGGAGGTCGAGAACGTTCGACGCGAGGACGACATGCTACAGCCCGTCTGCCAACTCCAGCACAGTCCGGTCGCCATACACTAGCGCGACCGGCGGCGTTGCACGCGGCCCGCCCGCCTGGACTCCGCGCGGCCCCTCTGCGAGCCCGGCCCCAGCGCGAGACCCCCGGGCGGGGCGGACGCGTGTCCTACGCCCAGAACCCACAAGAAGACGGTGAAGCGAACGCGTAAACGGAGACGCAACAGACGCTAGCGCTTGAACGCTGCGGCCGTCTGCGGACGCCGTCGCACCGTGCACGTTTCGTAACGAACATTCTGAACAGTGAGTGCAGTGCTTCGGCCGCGCGCCACCGTCGCGTGGAGCCAGTCGTGCGGTGCTCTCGACGTGAAAGTGCTCAAATGAACGGCCTCGGGGCGCCCACGAACTGGCCTAGTTGAATTCATTGCTCCGTAATCGAAGACGGGCCCGCTCCGGCCCTCGGGCGGAGCGCGACAGTCGCGTAGTGTAAGTAAAGTAAGACGGTAGTGCGTAATCGTAGAGGAATCGACGTCGGCGTTGGACTAGCGTACTAGTACAATGTGTTACTCGGACTGAAAACAAACCATATTTATAATTCTATATTTTTATTTAATGCGATAAGTCTGACTGTTAAATGAGATACGGTGACGATCTGTTACTTTGTAACTTGTATTATGTTTATATAAATTGCTTGATTCGACCGTACTCGGCGTTCCGCGCCACCTCGCGGCGCGCCGAGGGCATCAAAGCTAGGTTTTTTTATTGTTACGCAATGCATATCAAGGACGCAATATGCTAGAAAATAAATATCGATGTACATATTTAGGAAACAGACTCATAAAGGTTACAGACTGCAACTTAAACCGTTTAATCTATAGTTTAGTTACATCTATGCTAGTTAAGCTTTCATTCGGTTAATTATCGCAAGCTTTATATTTTTTAAAGTGTCGGCAACTGATGACTGAATATTAAAGGGCCAAACGGACATTTCTTTTCACCGACTCGACACGTGACACAATTCTAACGATGTATTAACGTATATTTGTAAGGGTATTTTTGACTGCATCGATTCGATTCGACCGAGATCCTGTCGTCTGAGAATAATTTGAAACTTTGCCCTCGCATTTCAGAGTTGTTGTATATTGTATAATGTTTTTTATTTCCAATCTCGAATGCATAAGATTTGAGGTTATGTACATTTGAACACACGTATTGTGTTTACATAAATATAGGTTATTTTTTAACCCATTGGAATATTCTGAAGATATGTAAAACCGATGAATAGTGTATAGGTAATTCTATAAAACACAAAATGTACTTGTAGGTTATGGGAATGTTGAATCATATTATAAAATTTTGGGTATTTCAGATAGGAGTTAATAAATTAATAAAACTGACTCGTTCAACCTTTTTGGATTTGAATCTACAATAGACTAACCTCATCGCAACAGACTGCTCGTAAATTTGTAACGGAGATATTTTGTATAGCAAACTGAATCACTGCCTTACTGTGCCGGAACTTTTATGGATAAGGCCCGCCACTCACGCTGCGACTTCGCGCGATTTATTTATTCCTTGAATTCGAAGTTTCGTTTCTGGAAACTAACAAGTCTGTTTTGACGTGTTCCCAATAAAATTGATCGGAGAAGGAAATTGTATCATTTACAGAGAAGAATTGAATGTATAAATTTCTATAATACACTGTACATTATAAATCTGCTTTTTCGACTTGTACTAATGATTTTACACTCGTATATATACTAAGGTAAAGACTTAAGGTGCGTCCGTTCAGACGGTCGCCGCGTCAGCAGCGGGCCTTAGGATTAGCGGCCTTGTTCTCGACCAACATGAATTAGCAAAGTATATTTTTTTCAATTGTTTATAGTTGGTGAGCGTCGACTGCGCAAGAGTTCGGAACAACGTCGCTAATTTGTTGATATTGCAACTGAACGCAGATTTTTTTGTGCTGCAGAATGTTGCCGTGAATTTTTTATAAAGCTCCTTCCCCCGAAAAAAAATTATTTTAAAATACACATTTGTATGGTACAACCGTTGATTAAATACATGAAGCATGAAAGTATTCCCCCTTCGTTTCCGCCGTTCGCCTCCGATTCGTTTTGATTGTAGATTTGAATCTATCCCTTAACTCGCTCTGCTGAAATATTAAATTTCTCTCTTATCTGTATAATATTTACTGTAATAATACTTTTTTGCTTCATGAGGTATAGGACTGTTAGGAATATAAGAAATAGGTATGGGAAACCAGATATTCATAGTAGGGTGATAATATTTCATAGGCGGGTTTCCAAACGAAATGAAAGCGTAACTTATTTTCTTATTCATTGTACTCAGCTCGAGCGATGCGAACCGACGGAAGCCGTCGAACTGCGAACGTCGCGCGATGTGGACTTACTTTCCCTCGCAACTGGCAACATTTGACGTAAATATTTTTTAAGCGCGGAGATGCTATGCACGAAACTAAGTCGACGTCGGCCCGACGCTCGGGAACCTGCGTCATTATTTTTTAACGAATACAGCCTATAGGAGAAGCGAACCACAAAGGAGGGCCCTACAGACTTGCGCTTCGATATGTAATGTATTATACTATTTATTTGTACTGTGACATTAATGTGGTGTGTTCGGAATTATAATATGTTTATTTCCTATCGGATTGTCAGTTCGCGGGCACTGTAACAATAAAAGGATAGAGCTTTGTGTCACTAAGTTTTGTATTTTAAATCAATAAACGATAGCAATGACTCTGACTTTCATTACCGCCGGACCTACTTTGGAACCTACAGATTCACCATTATACAAGGAGACCTTTCTTCAGTCTCATATTGTACTGTGTATATTTAAACAAAACATTTTCTATCGGTTTCAAACGCGAAATATACTAGAAAACTTATTTTTAACTGGGAAATGGTGTTAAAAGTGTTTTGTCTCCACTTGACCACTGCAAAGAAATGGCTCAGAAATATTTGAGTATTAATAATTATATTAAGTACAAATCTTTTATAATATTAATTCAATTGGAACATAAAAGGGTGGGTTTTATATTCACTTTGAAAATGAAGATGTTAATTTTTATAGTAAATATGAGGCCAAGAGAGGAAGAGTGGCCTACTCACAGTTTTATTTATATGTTTCTAGTCTAAAAATGTTAATCTACAAGAGCAGAGTGACCGAATTTTTTTAATATAATTCTTACACAAATAATAGTAAATAATTAATTTCACATTTTTATTTTCCTCCTTATTGAAAATCATATTTTTTGTTATTAGGCCACTCTGCCTCTAGCAGCCTCATTTATATTTAATGTACACATATTAAAATATCTGCTGTCAACCATCTTGGACAGGCAACAAGTAAGTATAACTTTTTTATGCTGGATACTTAACTTTTATTTGTAGAAAAAAAATTGGTTGAAAAGTATATGCTTTTAAAGCTGAGTGTTTTATTACCTTCCTATCCACAGTATCATATTAGCAGAATGGTAGAATTAAACCACAATTTTATTTTATTTTATACAAAGGAGACTTGCAGTACCACGCAAGAGAAAGATCATTTTTTCCAGATTAAAATTGCATTAGGGTTAGAGTTTTAGCAATTTGACTTTTGATGGGAAAGTTATGTGAGTACACAGCTTTTCTCTAAAGTAATTTGGTTTTTAATTGCTTTATAGCTCAGTAAGTGAGCAATTTAAATTCACTACTGTGTGATACTTAAATAAGTAGATTGCTGTGCTCGCTGAAACCAATGCCATTCCCTTCCGATTTAGTTTAAATGTAGCACTAATTGTTAAATATAAAACTCAACCAAATTTATGTTGGCTGTCTTATATCTATACAATTGCATAAAATACATATTTGAGATTAGAAGGGAAAACAGGCTTTGTGCAGTATTTGCAAATCTAAACAGAATCTTAAAGTTAGCAGCTAGCTGCTATGTTAAGTTTATCTGTTCTAGAACAGATAAACTTTCAAGGTGCCATTTTAGATTCCAAAATAAGATCTCCTACAATTTTATTTCTAATCTTAACGTCACTAAATTACTAAGAATATTCATAATACTAGGCCGGTTAGCAAAAGTTAACCTAAGAACGTATTTTTGTATTTAAGCCTACACTAAAATAAACGTCGTATCGAAGTGACAGTAAAACTATATAATATTTAAGCACTACGAAGTTACAGAAGAACATCAGTAAGTTCCAGGCGGATTCCGAAATATTATAATAATGAATATTACGAGTAGCTACTCCATCACCGCAAACGAGACAAATAAAAATAAACATGGATAATATTTTATGTCCAGTGTTATCAGTATTAAAAATTTGGCAGTTGGACACACTGGGCAAGTAAGAGGCGCAGCTTCGATTTAAAAATGCTTATCGCAATAATATAATAATTATAGCTTAATAGCACTTAATGCCGCACGGTCTAGTTCAATACCACTGTAACAAAAGCAAAACGTCAGCAAACTAATATTCTCAACAAGTAGAAGGAAATAGTTAGGTGCTCGATAAAATGTGATCGATTAACTATCGAGTAATAAAGGTTAATTATAGTCGACTTTTTTTAATATCTCAATCAAACAACATGATTTACTTTTTTATTATAAAAAATCAATATGGTGACTAATAAATTATAATAAAACCTCAATTTCTACTTACTGCCTTGAATAGATTATGTCTAAACTAATACAATATATATGAAGGAGGAAGAGAGAGAACTTACCTGAAGGGATGGAGAGTAAATAAACTTCTCTCATAAATAGCACTAATATAAAAAATTGATTATTTGAATCTAAAAAATATTCCCATTTTTTTCCTATTTAATATGCATAATTAAAGTACACATTGTAAACAAAATCTACATAATGGTTTATATTTTTTAGACGCCAAAAAGTCACTATATTGTTTTTTTTTTAATTTTGATTTGACGTATTGAGCCCGGGGCTTCCTATTTTAACTTGAGGTGGCCCGGGCCACCAGAGGGTTCGGAAGCGACGCGGCTTTTTTAAAGAAGCGTCCGGACTTTTCTTTGAAGTACGACTGAGGGTCGGCAATTCGAGATCGGCGTGGAGGTTGGCATTCCGCACGCACCAGATGGCTCCAGTAGCGGCTCGAGTGAACCGATTCTGAAGCACCTGGAGCCTGTGGAGTGTGCTGGAGGCGACATGGGCGAACGCGACGCTGGAGTAGGCAAGGATCGGACGGAGTATATTGGTAAAAGGAAGTGTTATAAATACTCCTTTGTATACCACTCAATGTTCATAAGAAATTATGTGAGTGAAGATAATATGTAGTTGCCATAGTTACTATTCTTGTTACATTATAATTAGTCAAAAAGATGTACAGTTCTTTAATAAAGGCCATACCTATTTATTTTCGCCCCAGACCATTATACGAAAAAAAAGTTTTACATGAAGTCAATCAGTCAACTGTCAACCATGAATACAAGTGTTGCTGCTCTACGCTCTCAAGACTATAATTATTTTCTTCCGGGGACACCAATAGAAGGCCGGGTGATCAGTCCACCTGACCTTTAAAACTAACGCAACTTCTAACCATTTTTAACCGACTTCGATAAATGAGTTCCAAATTTTATAGGTATTCAATCATTGTCAAAAAACAGAACAATCAAAAACAAAAACTTTAAAAAATGGTAAGGAGGAATATAGTGTCAGTCAAAAGTCTTTAGTTGAGAACTGCAATCTATTATAATATGTATCTTTCAATGTAAATGTGATTTAATACAAAAAAATGGTTAACAAATTACGTAGGCCGCATTATTTTACCTAGAATTCGTTTTAAACTACCTTTTTCGGTATAGTGATGTTCTTGGCGATAAATACCACTCGATATCGATTTAAATTTTCACCTACATATTCACAAAAATGTTTTTAAATAAGTTTAAAATTAAAGAGGAATGATATAGTCCCGGATTCTTAACAAATGTATTAGGGATTTATTATTACATTATGGTTATATTTTGAGCGACAATAACTAAAATAAAAGAGAAAGTTGTTTAAATTCTCTACTGCGCTATCTTTATTCTGTCATACAATGTGATTGATCTGTTAAGTATTGAAAATTATAAATATGTATTGGTCTGTATCTATACAAATGTTATATTCACATAAAAATAACGTACTCCGATAGCCGTGATCGTCTAGTGGTTAGGACCCTACGTTGTGGCCGTAGTAACCCAGGTTCGAATCCTGGTCACGGCAGTGTCTTTACACTGTTACGGCGGAGTCTCTTTTGTTTTTTTTAGTTAAGTTTACACATAGTATGTAACTTGTAATTTTACAAAATATTTATTTAAATGTAAATATTTTTTTTTTATAAAATTCATCAATACCAAATTAATATAAATATAAAAATATTTACGTGATATTCACATTTTTTTACATTTCAAACGTGTTTTGGTAGTGCCTAAAATCAGAAATAATTTAGTTTTTTATAAAACTTAACCATGTAACACACTGCCATCTATGGAATACGATATGAAACATTGATAATAACAATGTCTTGTTGTTTAATGAGTTCATTGCATAAGCGCGCTCTAGTTCTTGACACACAGTTTAATAACTTCATCTGGTTATACGAGGTGGCGCTATATGTCTTTGTTTTGATCCAGCCACGCACCGCAGCTGTTCGCTATCATAGAAATTTGTGAGAGAAAAGGAGTGGTGATTACGCTGTCTTTGCTAATATTTTACGTTTTTTATATGGTTCGGGGCCAATTAGAGACTTGTATTTTTAATATGTGATGCTTGAAGTGATTTCGAATAGCCAGTGTGTTATGTAGTGGCGAAAAACATTGATAAAAGTGTTAATTAAGGATGTAAACGCAGATTATGACGTTTACTACTGTTTTCGCGTGTGTGAGTGCGTGTTCAACGTGACGGCATTGCTGTTGGTTGTCGAAGCGAGTCCGTAACGGAATAAATCTCATGAATGTTGATTTTCGTAAGTTTGTTTTTAATACTTAACATAACCTAAAACCGTATTCTCGTAAACGCTACTGTTATATTAAAGCCTTCGTTGTTCGGGGTTTTGAATTTTCGCAAAGCGCCTTGCTTGCATACCAGCTAAAATTTGAAAGTATGTAATGAAAAACGTATAATTACCTATATAGTTTTTTATTATCTACCTGTTGCTTATAAGACTGTTTAAACATCTTATTACTATTATATTTTTTCTTCGATTTTCTATCCTTAAATTGGGCTCTGCAATATAAATTAAGAAAGCAATATTTAGTATCGCCGGGTTTTTAATTATGATCTCATAGGTATATATGGATACATCTATTGGGTTTAAATAAATATATACCTATGTATATTCTTATTTGGGTACATACACCTACTGAATTTATATTAAATTAAATAGGATGGCTTATCGCCAGATTAAGAATTACCTTAACCATGTAAGAATTCTTGTTCTTACGACATCGATATTCTCGGGTTTCATTAATTAATACAGGTAAAGTAAATTTAATTATTTTTCGTTAACCTCTGCACAACATAAATACGTTATAAAATACATATACAATATGATAAACATATATAAATTAACTATTTAGTTTGACTATGAATAACGCAGAAGTAACATCCGCATCTTTGATGTATGGAAATTCTGGGCGGGCTAGTTATCACAATAACTTATATTAAAGTCGATAAGTCGAAAAAGTTTTAATGTTCAGTAACGATGTCTAGCCAGTTTTACAGTTCAAGGTTAAAACTTGTGTTATGAGATCATGCTAATGGACACGTTTAGCGCCTTGTCTAAAATATACAAACACTTTGTTGTACATATCACGGGGTGGACTAAAGTAATACCAAAGCCACAATTTTCTTCTTATTAACACTTGTACTAGAGTACTTACGAGAACAAAAACAATATGCGTATACGTATATATAGTTCTCGCCAAGGGCGCCTAAAATTTGAGATTTAATTAGAAACATAAATATATTATTAATGTGCAATAATGTTTCCTGAAAAGTCTGACAAAACTTTCAGAAGGTTCAAGTTAATTGCAAGTCAAGTTTTAATTCATTAGCGAGTCTCGGGTCACCCAACTGTCGTTAAAGATTCATCTACACATATACGACCTACGCTCTTCGCGATAATTTAACCATTTAAAAAGCCGTCTGACAGCCACGTCACCCCATCGCAATATAACCGAATACCAAAATTCTTCGTCAACAGAATAAACGCGTACCCAAATTGATTAAAAATGTTATAGCCGCGTTCGGACGATCGAGAGAAATGTTCGGAAGAAAAGGAATCAAAGCCGAACGGACGAGCAGTCCGAAGGCCGTAGATTCGCTTCCCGAGGTGGCTCTGGCTGCGATAGTGACCTACAAAAAGCAAAAAGAACTCGGCGACTTTATGAGTTTCCTCCTCGGAGCGCTCGAGCGGAACTGCGAGTGGCTTAATGTCGTCGTCGGCAAACAACCTAACTTCAGCTGCGCTCTGATGGTCGGCGCCGGCCCCAATAGGTTCCAAGTCCAGGAAACAATTTACCCGACTAGCGACAATGTTAAGTTGGAAATCGAGCAACGAGACTCCGAGGATTACGACAAAGTGGCAATCGCTGCCATTCTCAAATTGACCAATCTGGAAATCGACAGTCTGTTGAAGTACATCAAAACTCGCCTCCACGAGAATCCTCTTTTGAAGGACGATCTCATCAAGGGCAAAGCGATGGGCATCAATTTCGCCGTCCTACGACCGCTCAATGACAAACAGTATCGCGTGATGGATAGAATTGTTGTCGGTAGTTCGCTGAAATGTGTGTTGCCCTCTAAAAAGAGGAGGAGGGACGAGAAATCGCTAGTTAGGGCCCCGTTGAAACGGTTCAAGTGCGAAATATCCTACCAGTAGCCTTCATTCATAAAATTTTGTGCACACACTACACACTTCAGTGTTGAATTGATGAAAAATTATGCACACTCCCGCATTGATAGTTTCCGATTCCCGGTGATATATTGTGTGGCAACGAACCATTATGAAGATAAATGCGACATTATGTTACATGATTTAAAACGTTCATAGCTGGACGAAATTGAAAATTAAATTTGATTACATCCACGATCAATGTTAATTATTTACATTTTCAATTCATTTATTTTAATTAAAGAGTATAGATGCAGACAAAATATTATCTTGTGTTCTAGTTTAAATCAATCGAGTTTAATCGCATTTCGGATTCAGTCTGTGGATTTCAGAATATCCACAGCAGGTCAACAGCTTATCTTATTCAGTTGTTATATGTATATATAGCTTGGGCATTTTACCTACCTTGTCTGTCCTTTATCATAAAAGTCACCAATTTTATACGTTTAACCCAAGACTTTTACCACTATTATTTCTTTAAGTTCTATTTCAATATTTGTGGGTCTAAGATTTTGCCCGTGTTTTTCTAAATATATCATATTTAATTACAAACATCCATTGAGATATAGGGCAATTGTCTTATGAAATTGTTATTTTCCAACCCTTTACACGTAACAGTAGGGTAGCGAGTTCGTAGCTCCATTTGGCACTAGTGCGAGAGAGATCAATATCACGAAATCAGGGCAGCCGTGCGCACTCTAATGGCTGGGCGAAATCCTCATTCGAAAGCCAATAAAAATAATAGACATTGTTAACGATTTGGTTATAACTTCCTTTTCTTATTAATTGTATGTTTAAACACTAGGTACATAAAACCAATACAAACAATAATAAAATAGCCGAATTATGGCTAAGATGAAGGGATCCTCCCTTTCGGACTCCTAGAACAGTATCAAATTTTATAACATTTGTACCTAACTGTGTGTTACAAGTGTTATATTTATATAAAAAACGTCTTCGTGTAATTGTTAGTAGTAGTAGAGTAGTACTTGACAAACTATATTCTTAAAACAAGGCCATTATGAATTTAAAACTTTAAATTAAATGTCAGACATCTCATCGCTTGCATTAGTGATTTTTTTACGCCAATCGCGCGATATGTCTGTGAGACATCTAACTTAGAATAATTGTTTGGTAGATAGATATTATAAGACTCTTTTGACAGCTTGAAGCATAAATTGCTTACTGCCTGTAGTTAACGCGAGTACAACCCATTCAATTGAAATATTATTAACGGTTTAAAACGCCAAATGTATTAGTCTCCCCGTAAACACGGCTGCTGCAATACGAAACGTCGGGACGTAAATAATTTTATTTTTACTTACGTTTAACTAATATATTTCGCGTTTTAAACCGTTAAAGTGTTTTATTCAAAAGTATTAATCATACTTATTTACCGTTAGACCGCAGTTTAAATAACGTGTAAATAAGTTTAATCGATACTATTTGCGTTTTATTTACCGTTAAAAGTGCATGAATTGGTAACTATACGGGTATTATTGGTACAGAGTCCGCCAAACATGATGAATTGTACCCAACGTCCGAATCTTGGCCCCAAAAAACTGCCTCCCAATCTGGTTATCGTTGATATAAATCAATTTGAATCATTGCCTAACACGGGTCGAACTTGGGCCTTTTCTCCGCCGGGCCTTGTAAGGATTAGGGGCGCTGACCGTTGGGTAATTGGCGTAATAGTTATGAGATTTATTGCCCTAGATTTACCTTCTCCATAATAATCAGCTACTGCTATGGCGCCGAACGAATGACTCAGAATATTCTGGTCACGACACAGCTTCAGGCGGTTTAAAATACATTGAACATAGATGAACGTACAAGCTAAAAATGCGCCCGGTATACAAGCACGCAATAGGTGTATTCTTAGGATTTAATATTAAATACCAGATCCATCTTTAAAAAAAATGTCGCGTGTTGTGGCAATTTTAATTTTTTTTTTTAATTAAATACTTTAACGGTTTAAAACGCGATATATTAGTTAAATTTATTTGGAAATGATTTTTAACTTCGGCCCGACGTTTCGAATGCTTTGCAGCAGCCGTGGTCACGGAGAGACTGGGGTAGTCGCCCGTGGGGGGGGGGGGGGGCGATGTCTCTCCGAAGTTAAAAATCATTTCCTGCTAACATTACATCAACGAGCTTGTCGATAGATCTCTCTCTTTTTCTCTAGAATTAGCAGATCATAGGGACAAAAATCTTTATATATATTTTGGTTTAGAACATAACATCACCCTCCTCAAGAAACCTCTTCGACCAAATAGCGTTTTAAAAATGTTTTTCGTATTTTGCATTAAGTGCCCATCAAAGAGATCATTGAAGCGTACACCCCTTAATTGCGCGAACAACGTTAAGAGTAAATAATGAAACGTAGATAATATAGAGGACGACGCCATTTTTTCAGTTAAATTTTTATTTTAAACATAGCAAGGGATTTTGAGGGCGCTCGCGAAAACGCGTTATCTTCAGATGTAAAGCAATAATAAAGTGAAGGGTCGCTGCTTCTGTAATTTGAGTCAGTTATAACGAGAACTGCATTAAAATTCATTCACATCCGTGATACTTTCGATTCAATAACGGCTTGTTATTTGCGGTCAAACTATCTTATTACAATAAATTGTATGAGATTTATTAGGTAGTTCTAGGAGCATTGAATTGCGTCTTGTGTTTGTCAAAGAATTATCATTATATCTTTGAAACAATGGAAAGTTCTTATTCCACAGGATATTCTCTATTCTTTTAACATAGATCAATATTCAAATAATGTGTTTGATTTTTGGTTCGTTTGTTTATTATCTACTAGATTGTAACAAACTATAGTATTACTGTTATTTAATGGAAGACTACTCTGTCTTTACTACTCTCCTCTATCTATACTAATATTATAAATGCGAAAGTAACTCTGTCTGTCCGGCTTTAACTCCGAAACTACTGAACTGATTTAAATGAAATTTGGTACACAGACTTTTTAATGCCAAATAAGGGGTGATAGGGGCTGAAAAAGGGGATGAAAGTTTGTATGGACATTTGTGCTTTTTAAAGCTAGAACAATGAAACCTTCTTCTTTGGCTTTTTGGGAATAGGAGTGGGAGTGGGGGGAGGGGGGGGACTCCCACTCCCAAGCGGGAGTTAAAGTGAGAGTGGGAATTAAAGTAGGAGTGATGTCAGATGGGAGTGTTGCGGCAAAGTAGCACTTACAACATAGATTGGCTGGCTTAAATGCGCCCTTACATAAATTAATGAACAACCTACATAATTAAAAATTCTACCCCAAGTCACTATTCCACGCGGACGAAGTCACGGGCACAGCTAGGAAACAATAACGTAAAAATCTGTTTCATGAAGCTTTTGAAAAGTCAGGATCAATACATTGGACCAGCTATTTCAGAATTTAGTGTAACGCCGATAAATCTCTATCGATAGTGCTGCAGTAAGTTTAAATTAGCGATCTAAATCCATTCCTATTCTAGTTAATCGTAATTATGCTTTATGCATCTAGACTCTGTTCATTCGTTCATTGCTATTATAAATGAATTTCGTCGCCACAATTGAATTATACCTTTGTCAGGGTAGTCGAAAAACTAAATATTACAGTACTTTCCAAACTAAGTACTTTGACTGTTTTTGGTAACTATAAAATAAGCTACATCGCTAGCAAGAACCAGAATAGAGATCTAAAATTGCTATAGCGATAAAAGATTTAAAAACAAACATTAAACATATAAATAAAACACTTTAACGGTTTAAAACGCGATATATTAGTTAAACTTATTTGAAAATTATTTTTAGCTTCGGCCCGACGTTTCGGATGCTTTGCAGCAGCCATGGTCACGGGGAGACTTATATATCGCGTTTTAAACCGTTAAAGTGTTTTATTTAAATGTGTACTACTCGCGTAAACTATAGACAGCATTTAACATTGAACATTAATATGTCTGTAGAAATGTTAATTTCACATAATAGGAATATATTATACAGGAAGATGAAATATCTTGTAATATTGGGTATAAGTACATACATGGTTTTAAGTTTTAACCATTGTTCTATTGCGTGATCAACCAGCGCCATCTATGTATTTATCCGCGTAAAGGTTAACCCGTACACATCTGTCGGGTAATACATCGACCTCGTCCACACCTGCTTCCTGCCAACCTGTATTCCTCGAGACATGTATCAAGTGGGCCCTAAGTGAATTTTTACGATCATTGCCTGTTATATATCGTCAGCGAGATATGAGTAATGTCGGGTCGCGAAATTGTATTAATAAATCCTCAGCACCGTTATGCAAATTTAAATAGCTGTTCGAAGATATGTCTTTCTCTAAATTGCACTGCTAGGACATAGGCGTGAAATTCATTTCATTTGTTTAATTCGTTGTTGTTGAGTAAGTGGAAGTTATGTACTGTGCTTGTAAATTCCAGAACTTTCTTTAGGAAAAATAGAAAATTTTTTTTGTGCCATGACTATGGCATAAAGTAGGGTAGAGATATGTGTAAAGTGGTATTAATTTTAATGAAAAAAATGTTCAATTTGACACAGAAATGACGGACTAGCAATTGTAAATATCTAAGTAATAATTTGAATAATTATACATTGCCACGTATAAAGTCAGAACCAAAAGAATTCATAGTACAAATTATTTGGCTAAGATCTAGGAAATACTGTTCGAATTAACATGGCTCATAACGAAAACTGCCTAAAATGAAGGACAATTTTGGAAGCTTACCTGACAGGGTTCCTTATAAAAAATAATTTCGTTATTTAGATTTCAAATAATCTCGTACGTGACAGCTTATTACAAACATTAATGTCATTTTAAAATATCCCGTAACTCTACTAACTGTAATAGTATTTTAAGGAAATAAAGCCTTTTTTTATTTAAATAAAACACTTTAACGTTTTAAAACGCGATATATTAGTTAAAATTATTTAAAAATGATTTTGAGTCTCCCCGTGACCACAGCTGCTGCAAAGCA